TAAAAAGCACAACGAGATGCAGTAAAACGAAGACAAGGCTTGATTTTTTTTTTTTTTTTTTTTTTTTTTTTCTGTAGAGAAATGTTTGTGCAAATTCAGTAATTCAACTGAAGAGATAATTTTACAGCTGTTCAATAAAGCCTCTTTCCAGGTAAGGTATGACAAGTGGTGCGTGTGTTTGTTGAGCAGTGAGCCCCCCAAAATGGCCTGGCCTGGGCTTTCCCTTCCTCAGCTGGTGGTGTCTGAAGGTCTAATGGTCCATACTGGTGATGCCGGGGGGGCTGGAGCTTTCCCGGGATATTGGCTCCTGGCTTTGGAGGCACTTTGTGGGGTCTGGGAGATGGTGGGAACTCTGGTCTGGGTGGACTGTGGGGTCTGGAAAATAATGGGAGCTCTGAGTCTTGATGGACTGTGGGGTCTGGAAAACTGGCAGCTCTGATTTTGGATGGACTGTGGAGTCTGGAAAATAATGGGAGCTCTGGTTTGGATGAACTGTGGGGTCTGGAAAACCATGGGAACTCTGTGTCTGGATGGACTGTGGGGAGTGGAAAATAATGGGATCTCTGAGTCTGGATGGACTGTGGGGTCTGGAAAACTGGGATTTCTGAATCTGGATGGACTGTGGGTTTTGGAAAACCATGGGATCTCTGAGTCTGGATGGACTGCGGGGTCTGGAAAATAATGGGAGTTCTGAGTCTGGATGGACTTTGGGGTCTGGAAAACTGGGATCTCTGAGTCTGGATGGACTGTGGGGTCTGGAAAATAGTGGGAGCTCTGATTTTGAATGGACTGTGGGGTCTGGAAAATAATGAGGTCTCTGAGTCTGGATGGACTTTGGGGTCTGGAAAACAATGGGATCTCTGAGTCTGGATGGACTGTGGGGTTTGGAAAACTGGGAGCTCTGAGTCTGGATGGACTGTGGGGTCTGGAAAATAATGAGGTCTCTGAGTCTGGATGGACTGTGGGGTTTGAAAAACCATGGGATTTCTGAGTCTGGATGGACTGTGGGGTCTGGAAAATAATGGGAGCTCTGAGTCTGGATGGACTGTGGGATTTGACACCCTTAAAAACACAAACCACCAAATTTCCCGTTGGAATCACTGGATTTTGAGGGCTGATGGCTGGCTAGAGGACCAGCTCAGGTATGACAAGACACTGCTGCAGATTTTTGAGCAGGAGGTTGTTGTCTCATTACTCAGGACGTGTGGAATCCAAACCTGGATGTGTCTCCTCCCGCTGATGTCTTGGGAAAGCCACAGAACCGATGGATGGTCCAAGAGGCTCCACCTTTGGAAGGGTCTGGCTTTGCCCAAGGCCACTGAGAGCCCTGACAGAAGTGGACTCGTTCTCCTCTGGCATTTCTCATCCATGTGTGACCTGGGTGGCTCCTTTTTCCCTCATTTTCTGGTCGGAGCAGCACTTCAGGGATGCTCCAGGCTGGAGCCTCAGCAGGCTCTGCAGGAGATCCCACAGGTCAGAGACCTGGTCCTGCTGTGTTTTATGATGCACAACCTCACTGTCCTGAGCCTGGAATATTCCTGGACTATGGAAAAAAAAAAAAAAGAGTGGCTATCTGTCAATAATTTTCACGGAATCCCAGATTCCCAGAGTGGTTTGGGTTGGAGGAGACCTTAAAGCTCATCTCGTTCCACCCCCCTGCCACAGGAGGGATGCTGTCCATGAAACCAGGTTGAAGGAGCACATGAAACATTCCATTTCCTTTCAAATATTTTTCCTGGTATTTTCCAGAAACAGACTCCAAATAAACTGAGCCTTGGGTGCCCATTGCTCAGCAGAGACCAGGAGAAGGGTTTTTCCAAGCACCAAGGGCAGAGCTGGTGGTGGTGAGGGTGTGACTCCACGGGAAGGGAGGTTTGGGAAGTGCCCTGGAGCGTCCTCAGCTGTCCTGAAGATCAGGGAACGGAGATCCTGGTTGCTTGTGTAGATCCCAAGCTGAGACTCCAGGCTGGAATCCTGGTCTCTCTTTCCATGTTGATTTTTCTTTCCCTCCCTCACATTATTTTGGATAAAGGGTTTTGATTGACAGCCAAAGACCACAAACAGCTCCTTTCAGGGCAGGATAATCTGTTTGTCCTGAAAAGCCCAGGTCTTTGTGTGAAAGGGAATTTATTTCCCATCCTTATTCCGGTTTTACTCTGCCTGGGGGCAGAAGGTGAAAAGAAAAGCTGCTTTTCTTTCTCTCCAGTGTTGACTCAGGAGTAGTGTTATCTTCCTTCACATTCCCGGGATAAACCACTGGAAAGGGCAGTGGGATTTTACTCCAGGCCGTGAATAAGAAGAACAAATTGAGATATGCATTTCCTAGTCTTGATTTTGATTTTATTTTTCGGGTTTTTTTGGTGCAAATGGATGCGGAATTTGTAAGACATTTGGACCAGGAATCAGACAAAGGGAGTTGGAACTGGCAGGTCTCCTGAGGAATCTGAAAACCCTCTGACTCAGTTCTGGGTTATCCCATCTAATAATGTCTCTGATGGAGTTTTAAATTGGAAATCAGGTACTGAATGGTGCAAATGTGGACTGTGCAGCAACTCCAGCACTGGGATGTTGGGATCAGCAACTGGTTTGGATGGGATGGCTGGGGGAGTTTGCTGGGTGTTCCCCAAGCAGAGGGAGGTGGAGGTTTGAATGGGAAATCATGGAATTACAGAATAGTTTGGGTTGGAAGGGACTTAAAGCTCATCTGGTTCCACCCAGGGACACCTTCCACTATCCCAGGTTGCTCCAAGCCCTGTCCAAGCTGCCCTTGGGCACTTCCAGGGGTGGGGAATCCACCACCTCTCCGGGAATCCTGTGTCCCACATGGAATTATGGAACACTTGGATGTGCTGCCAACCCAGCTCTCCTCCAGCCTGGATGGGATACCAGGAGGGATAAAGGAGCACAGACTGAAAGGGAGCAGAGAAAGACCTTACAAATCACCCTCAAATGCCCAATTATGGTTGGAAGGCAGGAGAAGCTCTTGGAGAGCCCAGAAGAGGGGAGATGACCCACGTGAGGAACATGTGGACAACAAGGTCTTCACACTGAGCCCATCTCGTCTATCAGCCACTTTTTGGGGACTGTAACCTAAGGGTGTGCTGCTCTCAGCCCCACAGAAATCCTTGGAAAAGGGCAATTTCCCCTTAATTTGGGAGAGGACCCAAAAGAGGTGGAGCTGCACCTTCCAGCCCCACCACGAGTCCTGCCCTCCACTGGTGCCAGAGCTTTCCTTCTTCACATCCAGCACTGGAACCTCTGCTCCATTCGGGGCACAGTCAGATTCTTGGGGGTGATTGAGGTCCCCAAATTTTTAAAAAAAGTTGACCAGTTAAAGCATCAACTTCTTTATGATTTTTTTTCTCTTTTCCCTGTAAGGGCAGTGAAATCCCTTTGTACTGAGGAGTTAAGGCAGAAGGATCAGATTTTTTTCCCCATGGAAAAAGTGGAAGAGGCTTCCCTGGGTTTATTTTCGGAGGGTTTACTCACTAGTAATGTTTTTTCATGTATTGAAGGATAATTGAAACTCTCTTCCTCCCCAAGAAGAGCTGCCATCCGTCAGAAAAATGACTTTTTAGAGCAGTTCAATAAAAATAAGATACAGTTTGGTATTTTAAGCGCTCTCTGC